TTTTTGTGTTACAAAAAAAACCGCGAAAAAATACGAATGTAAAGAAAAAAGTTATCAGCATGAATCAACATGTTCCCTATGTTCTTACAAAACGAACGTAATAAAGGACTTTCAACAGCACTATAAAAAACATATCGTTGAAAACTTAACATGCCCTTATTGCGACTTAAAAACTACCAAACCAAGTGAACTACAACAGCATGTTTTTCGTATGCATAAACATCAAAATAGAATTGAAAACAAAGTCGAAGTTGCCATGGCCTCGTTAAATTGTCAAAAATGTTTTTTTTACTACAGTAAGGACCGACATTTACGCAACTCACGTAAAACTGTGTAATGAAAGAGTTCCTTAATGTGATTTACTATAATTTAACTTTGAAAACATGTTTTTAAAATGATAATCAATAGTAAAGTCTAAAATACCCCCTTATTTTATTATTATCCAAAACATTATTTTATACATATTATTATCCTAAAAAGAAACATTTTTTTGGACACCTATTATACTATGGATATATTTACAGTACATTTTTATTTCATGTAATCTTATTGTCAAAAAATAGGCGTTTTAGATGTAGTAACTTATAAGTGAGTTTGTTTTTGGTTCTTTACCGAATTATTAACATTTATTGTAAAAATATGTAGTTTTGTTTTAAGGATTATTTTTTTTTTTAATAAATTTTAATTTAATTAATAGCATGACTTTTATTTATAAACTTTTGGGGGTACTTCTACAAACACCGTTATTAGTCAATCAGCGATAAAACTTTTAAAGCCACGCCTTTTATCGCCGATTGACCAATGGCATGTGTGTTGTCCACTTGCTCTTCCCGTGCATTTGTTATGTTCTAGAGAATTGTTAAGATGAATATACCCTATCTACCCCCCATCTACCACCCGCTGTACCTGTTCCTTATAAAGAGACGACCTGCAGCCTGTTTCAAGTGTGCTGATTCGGTCTAATAAGACCGGCTGTCTGTCTGTGCCTGTTTTGTTTAGCAAGCCTCAAGCAAAGGCACGGTGACAAGGTAGTGAACCATTTCCCTGCAAAAAATTGTTTAAATTAAAATCTATCTCACACATAATTAAAGCATTAGTTAATCTTACAAAAAATGTTATACCTACCTGGTATTCTTAAAAGTCAAAGTGGAAGTAGAATCTAAAAAATATCTAAGGAACGGGAGATTTTGTTAAATAATGTCAAATGTTAATCAGCTAAGTAAGCCATGAAATAAAGTAATACGACAAGCTAAGCCTATTTTATTGATATTCAATAACGCTAACCTGAGACAACAATTGTTCAAACTGACCACCATTTTGTTTAACACATACTTGACTTCTGCAAGAGACGCTGGAAGTGGCATTGTTTAAAAACATTCGAGCAATATCACGGCAGGCCTCAACTATTCGTCCCCCCAAATCTTCTTCATTTTCGGGTGGTGTTTAATACACGGTATCTTTTAGATAACCCCATAGAGAAAATCCAGTGGCGTCAGGTCTGGACTGCGAGCTGGCCACATGGGTCCGTTGGTTGCGATCCGTTGAAAGAGCTAGTTCTAAACTTCCATAAACTAAACACCACCGCACACAGCACAAAAACATACCGACACGAGCCCACCATTCATACGGCACGCTTTTACGTGCTATAGTCGCTCATCCTGTTTCCAGGTTCTATTAGCGTATCCAACACTGTAACCCGAAAACAAAATGTCATCAACAATATAAGATTTTTTTTAGTTTTAATCCTTAATACAGAAAGATTTGGGGGAATATGGGAATTTGGCATTTTACGTTTTATACGGTCAGAACTAAAAATTTCTTCGATGTACCCCCTGATTTTTCGACAAATTGACTGCGCTACTAGGCTATTTTTGTAGAAGCATATATTAACCCTTAATTAAGTTTTAAAGATTTTTTACGCTTCAAAAACTAAAATAGACTTTGTTTTAGGAAATATTCCATTGAATTAGAACCAGGAGATGTAACCCAAAGTATGAATAATGAAAAACAAAAGCAATACAATTGTACATTAACTGATCCTAGAAAACCGATTATATACAGCTATTGTTGTCCATATTGTGACTTTAGAGCGCAATCGAATTTCGTTTTGCAAGGGCATGTGTTTAGTAAACACAAGGAGCTCAATGATATTGAAAAGAAAGTTGAATTTACAGACATAATACTAACTTGCAATAACTGTACCTTTGTTACAGTAGGACTTGCCACATATTCGCAACATACCAAAACTTGTAAAAGTTTCAATACACAACCAGAAATAAAATGTAACAAATGTTCGTATAAAACAAATGTACTGGAGGAATATTATTTACATTATAAAACACATGAAAAATGTCCCTACGTGCTGCATAAACACAAAAAACAAAATGATGTTGAGAAGAAATTGCATGTGGTTTTCTGTCTCAATAAAAAAAACGCAAAAAAACATGAAACAACATGTTCCCTATGTTCTTACAAAACGAACATAATAGAGGAATTTCAACAGCACTACAAAAAACATGTCGATGAAAACTTAACATGCCCTTATTGCGACTTAAAAACTACCAAACCAAGTGAACTACAACAGCATGTTTTTTGTATGCATAAACATCAAAATAGATATGAAAACAAAGTCGAAGTTGCCATGGCCTCGTTAAATTGTCAAACATGTTCTTTTACTACAGTAAGGACCGACATTTACGAAACTCACCAAAAATTGTGTAATGAAAGAATCCCTTGATGTGACAAAACTTCCTTTGGTCTCGATATATCCGAATAATATGAATACGAAATTTTTGAAATTTCACCTGTTAGAAAGAATAACATATTTACAATCCAGCCTACCCGAAATTTTTTTGGTGTCAAAGCACATATTTACTGTATACAGTATACTTATAATTAAACTTTAATTATATAAACACCTTATATATATTAAAATAAATGTAAACCTGTTTAATTTTTCTAAAATTAATGTATTAAAGTGAATATTGTTAATGGTTCTGTGTTTAGGATTAATATGTTTTTAATAAATTTTAAATAATATATATATTAAAATAAATGTAAGCCTGTTTAATTTTTCTAAAATTAATGTATTATAGTTACAAAGTGAATATTGTTAATGGTTCTGTGTTTAAGATTAATATGTTTTTAATAAATTTTAAATAAGATATTAACAAGGCTTTTTTATTCAGCATCATGCTTAGACTTTCTACTAAACCAATTTTTTATTTATTCTATTTATTTATCACGTAACTAAGAATTTAAGAACAGCGTACAAAAATCTGAAGGCTCGTTTTTTTAATTGTCAAAACTAAGATAGAATAAGGGAAGCCTAAGATGAGAAATTACGAACAAAACAAGCCCGCTTTTTTTAACTTGTCCACCCAATTTTAATGTATTTTTTCAAAAGCACGTTTGTAGAAAAACATAATAAATATTCAAAACATCAGTACCTTGGCGTGTCACAACTCCTGAATCAAATATTTGAGTGATTTTATTTTAAAATATATTCAATTTATCTTAAATTTTTCTGCGAAATATTGAAGTTTAAACGTCAAGTCCTCGTTGTAACTCAAGTGTTGGTAAAAAATTACCTACCGAGCCCGCCCTTTTCACAATATCTTGAAAACAATGCAAGCGGCGAAGTTGTGGTGAATGCACGTATAGTTCCAGTCAAATTTTCAGTACTGTGGTGAGTAGTTATTTTCTTTCGTATATATATTTCATTGTAATTTATATAAGGCTATACCTATGTGAGTTATTGAAAAGTAGCATCCACTAATAAAAAATATCAGTAAAATACTTAATTTCGAATTATAATCTTAAATTTGTATCCCATTCATCAGGACCGTGTCGTCAGTTCCATGTTCGATGTTTCTGTTATCTTTTCTTCGCAAACTTCAATTTAAATTCTGCTTGCGCAGAACTTGTTTATTTATTGTCATTATAAACTCATATAAATCCTATATCTAATAATTGAGATATCGGTATACCCAAAATCCACCAGCCGCCACTGATGTGTGGTATTATTTGATTTTAAGATATTTAATGTATAATATGCTCAAAGTTGCAATAAATCTTACATTTTCCAATAAATTATGTATTTAATTAGTACCCTGGTATAATCGTCACTTCCCTTGAAATCAAATTCAGATTTAATAACACATGAAGAATAACAGTTAATAGAGAACTTCAAACCAAGTTTTAACAGAAGCAAAGAACATGGCAAAAGAAGGAAAGAACTATGAGAAATGATGTAATGCCTCAACACCTATAAACACCCATTATGGGTGTATGATACAGGTGTCCTTTGCTCCCAAGGGAGTTATAGGAAGAAGAAGGAGAAGACATTTTTTTTATTTTATTTATATATTGGCAATATAAAAATAAAATGTAACATCTAACTTAAAACATTTTGTAAATATATTAGGCTTATTCCTACCGAGCATTTAAAGTTTTAAATAATCACCATTAGAACCCGCCTAGCAACGGGAATAAGAAACTCATTATTCCCGTTGATAGGCATCAGTGATTATCCGATTTTATTATAGCTACACTGAAAAAAAATAACTTTTATTTTTGTGGAAATTCATATAAATAATTTTATTTTAATAAAGAATGTTTTTAATATAATTGTCATTTATTTACTACCTTATAAGGTATACCGTGCTGTTAAGAAAACCTAATTATAGGGGTAAGTGCAATCAATAATACAAATTAAACAATGATTTTGGCTTAGGTTCGCTTTACTGATATATCCTGTTTTAAGAACTATTTTAAGTAGCCGAAATAATATATTAAGCATATGTACCAATATGTAGTCGTAAGTTTCAACAGTGTGTAGTGGTAAAAGGTTTTAATAAAACTGTTATTATATAACAACATGTAGTGGTAAAATTTAATTAAAGCAGTAGTGGTAACGATCACTTTGCTGTAATGTCAATTCGTAACAATAACTCATTACCATTATCTCTTGTATAGTAATAAACATCAAATTAAAAAAAATGGTTTTACATAACAATACCGTGTATCAGTGTTAATAAAGTTATATAACTTATATACTTTAAAAACTAAAACCTACTTTGTTTTAGAAAGCATTCCATCAAATTAGAACCAAAAGATGAAGTCCCCCAAAGCATGACTAATGAAAAACAAAACACATACAATTGTGAGTCGTGCGCATTTAGTACAACAAAATTTCAAAAATATTTATCCCATACTATATTTTGTAAATATCCTAGAACACCGACTAAAGTAAACCATACCCTTTGTCCGTACTGTAACTTAAAGGTAAACTCGGACCTGGCATTGGAATCGCATGTGTTTAGTAAACATAAGGAACTTAATGATGTAAAAGAGGAAGTTGAACTCACAGAATTTAAATGCAACAAATGTTCATATAAAACGAGTAAACTGGAGGAATATATTGTGCATTACGGAACACACAAAAATTGTCCTTATTGTGGAAAACAATTTATATCGACAAAAGGTTTGCAAGGACATGTGCTTGGCAAACACAAAATACAAAATGATGTTGAGAATAAATTTGCTCTTATTTATAAAACATACGAGTGTGCACATTGCACTTTTGTCACAATGTGTTTAAAAACATACAAAAAACATTCCTGTCTTAATGTACAGTTGGGTGCAAAAAAATCTACTCCCCAACATACTTGAGTTTAAAGAGAATGTGTAGGTGTCCATGGTTAAAACGTCTTCCGAAAATTTGTCGCCGGGCTGCGTTATACGCCCGATTAGGATCGTAGTATGTACTAACTTCAGTGAAGATTCAGCCATATTGACAAATTGACTGTACTAAGCACTTAAGAAAATATAAACATTGTCAAAATTTATATCAAATAAAACATTTAAAAAATCATACATTTTAATTATTTAAAAGAAGCACCTATTAACCAATAATGAAGTTTCAAAGAATGTTTTACACTTTATAAACTAAAATAGACTTTGTTTTAGGAACTATTCCATTGGATTAGAACCAGAGGAAAACTTGGTTAATGAAAAACAAAATAATTCTCAAAAATTAATAAATATGAATATAAGCGATTGTCCATACTGCAGCTTTAAAGCCCATTCTAATTTTTCGTTGCAAGGGCATGTGTATAGTAAACATAGGGAACTCAATGGTGTTGAAATGAAGGTTAAACTTACTTACAAAATATTAACTTGTAAAAACTGTACATTCGCTTCAATACGACCTACTTCGTATACAATTCATAGAAAAACGTGTTTAAGTCCACGTGAAACATGTCCTTATTGTGAAAAAAAATTTAGATCGCCAAAAAATTTGCAAGGACATGTGCTTAGTAAACATAAAAACCAAAATAATGTAGAGAAGAAATTGGCAATTTCTTATAAAACATACAAGTGTACAAATTGTACGTTTGTCACAATGGAATTAGAAGCATATAAAAATCATATGGATTCCTGTCTCAAAAAAATTAAATACGAATGTACAAATTGCACTCTGGTCACAACAAATTTAAAAATTTACGAGAGGCATATTAATGTATGTCAAATTAAAGTATATAAGTGTACAATTTGTGGGTTTATCACAACAAATTTAAAAACATCTCAAAACCATTCCTGTAAGGGAAAATGGAAACTGGTTTGAAAACAAATAGGATTTCGGATTTACAACTTAATTTTTTGATGCATAATTTACACTGTCCTCTAATATAATTTAATGTAATAAAATTTAAAAAATGTGTATTAAAAATGTTGTATTATGAAAGGTTTAGATCTACAGTGTATCCCAAAAGAAAATATCGATTAGCTTAACGAGAACGCAAGTGGTGATATAAACTGACCTCCGATTTAAACCTTACAGATTTTTGTATTATCCCACTTCTGATACCTCCCTTGTTTGTTATAACCCAATTTATATGTGAAGAAAGGTGCTAGAAATAGAAAAATAATTTAGTTGTGTATTTAGGATAGATTTTTTTAATACATTTAAATTTACCTAGTAGAGTTTTATTTGTAAACTATTCACAGTGCTGTTTTGAAAGGTCATTCTTGGACTTTCTGTGAAACTTTATGCAACATTAAAAAAAAATTAACAATAAATATGACAAAAAAATATAAATCGCTTCATTTTAAATATTTTATTGTTTTAACCTTTACTTGATGTAACTAATGTAAAAATCTATGGAAACAAATGTCTATCTTAATTCATAATACATAATTTCCTTACAGCTGACAAATATTCAATTCTAACTAAAGATCCGACGAAAAAATTAATGAAGAAAGTCCTTTAGATATATTTAAACTATGTATATTATACATTGTATAATGAATCCTAGCCATTGAAGCCATATCCTTTATTTGGAAAGATTAGGTTCCAATGGATTTGAAAACAAGTCTGCTAAAGTTAGGACTTGTTAGCATTTCCAGATATCTTGCCCCGTTAAGATTTTCAATGAAAATAGGTCCCACCACATGATCACCAACAATACCAGCCTAAACGTTGATTTTCTGAGGACGTTGGGTATGACTTTGTCGCATCCAGTGGGGGTTTTCTTCTGCCCAGTATATGCAATTATGCCTATTTACCTCGCCATTAAGAAGAAATGTTGATTCGTCAGAAATAAAAATATCTGCAGAAGATATAAAATTCCTGTTTAACATATGCAGCATTTAATCGCATCAGAATCACCGTCAATCAATTCTTGTACGTGTTGTAGTTTATACATTTTTTCGGCTTTTACACATCCTAAAACAGTCGAATGGCTTACGTCGTTTTTACCTTCACCTAAGAAGATGTTGAATCTTCTTGAAAAGCTAATAAAATATTGACATCATCATTAATATTTCTATTCGCAGAGTTTCTGTTAAGTTTTGCATTTTTTAACGAAAATATTAATATTAAGTATTAATATTAAAATATTTAGTGTCACAGCACTAAAAACAAAATTTGTAACAAAAATACACATGTGCACATGTTAATTAAACAATAACCAAGCAAAAAACATAAATAGTTAATTATCAAAAGTCACAACACAAAAAACAGAAAACAGAAAAATGTGCACTATCAATTTTCGATGAAAAAAAGTGGGGTTGTTATTTATTATACATGTGCACAATGTGGAGGGGGAAAATGGTGGGGGCAAAAAATTATATCCATAAGATTTGAAATTATTCTACTTAGTCTACAATAAAATATAAAATAACCATTACTTTAGTCAATTTAGGCACGAGCAAGCTTGCGAGCGTGTGCTTAATTAAATGGGTGCCTGGACAAAAGTTTATAGGAGTGGTTTTCAGTATCTTTTAAGATTCTGATTTAATTTTGAAAAAAAATTGTTCGGATTTAGTTTAACTGACTTTTTTCTTTTAGGTATCTTGGTCAAATTTGACAGAATGAAGAAGAAAGTGCTCTATGTGCATAAAAATAAAACATAAAAGGGTTTTAAATAAAAAATAAACAAATTTTTAACATGACCGTCGCATACTTTTTTTCATGTGATTTCACACATTTTTATTTGGTCAAAATTAAAAGTATCCTCATGTTGTGAATTTTAGGTTAGAGTTTCCACCGGTAAACAACCGACAACAAAAAAAAACATATTTATGTTGCTATTTTATCACTATAGACGGTCATGTTAATAAAAAAAATACGAAGAACCTTTTCTATATCAAAATACACGACAGGAACTGTAAATATATCGTTAACTGAACCGCAATAATAAAATATTTTAATTTACACATGCGGCAAATAGACGACCTAAAAGTCCTTCTACGGTCATGTGAAGAAAACGTCGGGACAACGTTAAGTTATTATTTTTAGCCTAAACATTAACAATAATGGCTATTTAAGACAATTTTATAACACAAAAAACCCAACATTTGTTCAATATCATTTTCTTTGGTTTGTATTTAAAAAGTCATGGGAACATGTTTTAGAGGTGAAAGTAGAAAAATTATGTTATTAGATTAATGTTTGAATGTTCTAGAAGAACAATTTTTAAATTAGAATAAAGACTTGAAACTTAAAAAACTGTTTTGTTTTTATACATTTATAAATTATTCACTTCATTTTAACTGTACATGTTTTGTGGTTCAAAAATTAAAACTGACTTTGTTTTAGGGAACATTTCATCAACTTAGAAACAACACATGAAGAACTTCGTAGCATGGATAGTGAAAAGCAAAAAACATACAATTGTAAAATGTGTGATTTTTTTACGACAGAATTTCAAAAATATTTATCCCATACAATATTTTGCAAATACCCCAGAAAACCGCTTATAGTAGAGTGTCCGTACTGTTACTTGCAGATAAACTCGGATCCGGAATTACAAGCGCATGCGCTTGCCAAACACAAGGAACAAAACGAAATTGAAAAGAAAATTAATATTAAAACAAAAGCATTTTCAACTACCTCCAAATTCATCCCAAATATAAAATGTTTACTGTGCCCTTTTGAAACAAAAAACAGAAAAGAATATATTTTGCACCATAAAAAGCATGTTGAGAAAAACTTAAGATGCCCGTATTGTTTCCTGAAAACAAATAAGGGTCGTGAGTTGCAACGTCATGTTTTTTCCAATCACAGGCAACAAAATGAAATTGAAAAGAAAGTCGAAACTTCCGTCACCTCATTAAATTGTAAAAAATGCGGTTTCAATACAGTAAGAAACGATGCTTATGCAACGCACCTTAAGTTGTGCAATGAAACAAAGGAACGTCAATTCCATTTACCAACACATACATATAAGGGTTCAAAAAGAAAATCAGATTTTCCAACGGGCCACACCTGAAATACAGTTGGTACTACTAATTTGGTGATTTCTTTATCACAGGCCCACAAAATAGTATATTAAAGAACTAATGTCATAAGACGTCATTTTGTAATGGACGAGTGCGACAAAAGGTCTTATGACATGAGTTCTGTATGCTATTTTATCTCTTGCAAAAATTATATAAAAAAATTTATTTTATACCTTAAATTTAATTTGGTCGAATTTTACTTTAGATAGTTGGTATCACAGTCATTGGTTTGATAGTTAATTTCAAAATCGATTCGCCATGCCGTCCTTAATTTACTTATTTACAATAAGCGGCTGTTAATTTTAAAGAAGAAAAAAAGGATTTTCTTTGGTGTCAAACAAAATTTATTGCCAGAAAAGTCTCGTAAGTACTAGAAAAATCATAAAAATATTATAACCAATATGCAAAATATTATGCTGTATAGCCAACCTATAAAATCAAAATTTTCGCAAATAACTTTTTTATTTGATGTCGGATTTAAACGAATATTAAAGAATATTGTAGATAAATTAATGGACAATCGCTCACATTTTAAAAAATTACTTAAAAATAGACGTACGTTTATAATATACTTACAGGTTTAAACAAAAAGATGTTTTTTACCATAAGTTTAAGGCACTCTGTAGAGTGGCAAAACCGTATATTGTTCTAAATTGTGTTTTAATTATCAAGTCACATCTATTTTTAACAGTTTTGTTTTTGGTTCACCTTGATATATTTATTTTTGTAAAAAATATGGATTTTTTTAAAAAAACATTCCAATTTCCAATATTTTTCCTGTTTAAAGAACTAAGGTTGCTATGGTCCATCCATAGCCTATGGAGGATGACATTGACAGTTTTGTTGAATTATCCCATACTTGGACATGTCATATACAGCTTTCAAAAGCTATCAAATTGTTTTTTGTAAATTAATGTGTTAATTTTGAGGTGTCTTCTCACTTTTAAAAATGTCTCCGACTAATGTTGCCCTTTGTACTTTACTTCTTGTGACGGTTAAAACACTTGCCACGTAATACTGTGACCGTCCATCCTGGATTAAATTAATGGCTCTGGCAACATCAGTCGGAGACATATCCATTTTTTAAAGTAAGAAGACACCTCAAAATTTAAACATTAATTTGCAAAAAACAATTTGATAGCTTTTGAAAGCCGTGTATGATATGTCAAAGTATGGGATTATTTAAAAAACTGTCACTGTCATTCTCCATAGCCTATGGATGGACCATAGCAACCTTAGTTCTTCATACAGAAAAATATTGGAAATTGCAATGTTTTTTTATAAAATCCATATTTTCCACACAAATAAATATATCGAGGTGAACCAAAAACAAAACTGTTGAGAATAGATGTGACTTGATAAATAAAACTTAATTTAGAACAATATACGGTTTTGCCACTCTACAAAGTGTCTTAAACTTATGGTAAAAAACATCTTTTTATTTAAACCTGTATATTATAAACGTACGTCTATTTTTTAGTAAATTTTTAAAATGTTAGCGATTGTCCATTAATTTATCTACAATATTCTTTAATATTCGTTTAAATCCGACATCAAATAAAAAAGTTATTTGCGATTGAAATTCATCGAAAATTTGTGTGGATCGATTATTTTGCATGTGAGTTTATAAAAAAAATAATAATAATCAATTAATATTTTCACAGAATGTATTTCCACCTAAAGTGACTATTTCACGTGTGTCCCGTTGGAAAATCGAAAAAATACTAATACATATAATATATCATGTATTAAAAAATAGGCGACATAAATAGTGTACATTTAGAATTATAAGTAAATATTGTTAAAAAATAATTTAGTTTTGTAGTTGAGAATGATTTTATAATAAATTAAAAATAATTAAAAACAAGACTTTTATTCGTAAATTATTCATGGGTCTGATCTACGATGTCATTTTCGGACTTCCTGTAAAACCAACATTTTTTTAAAATTCCTAAGAATAAAAAAGTATAATAAAACAATACGCTAAAAAACAACAACCTTGTGGAAATTTTTCTCTGAAAAATAATTGTTTTGAAAGTCAGAATAAGTCTTCGTAAGTAAGACTAATAGCAAGATTTGGTAGACTTAGCAGAGGTAGATAGCGATAAAAATAAATAACTGGGATTATTCAGACAAAGAAAAAAAAGGAAAACATAAAAAAAGTATTTATAAAGATTGTTTTTGTGTTGTTATAAGGCTTATAACACAGAAGCAATGTTTACAATATACGAGGTGTGTTCAGAAAATAACGGGAATTGTTAAATTTCGCGGGTTCGGAGGGTCCGGTTGTCATAAAATTTTCTTTATTATGTTGGTATACATGCCCCCGAAGTATGATAAAAACTTAAGCTGTTTTCATTGTTTACTTTGTCTGTGGCAGCCGCTAAGGTTAGACGTGTTTTATAAGCTCGGCGATTTTTCGTTCGTTAAAAGAAATGGATCAAAGAATTTGTATCCAATTTTGCTTAAAAAATGAAATAAATTCTTTGAAATGTTAACAAAGGCCTATAGTGAGTCTGCTATAAGTAAAACAAGAGTTTACAAGTGGTATAAGAGTTTTCAAGATGTCCGTGAAGACGTTGAAGATGACGAACGCACAAGCACCTTAACAACCGATAAAAACATGGAAAAAGTGAAAGAAATGGTTATAAACCATCAGAGAAGTCGCTAATGATGTTGGTATATCGATTGGCTCATCCCATGAAATTTTTTCGAATGTTTTGGATATAAAACCCGTGGCAGCAAAATTTGTTCCAAAATTGTTAAATTTTGAACAAAATTTTTGGCCAAAAACAATACTGTAATGATGCCCTAGCCTCCATATTCGCCAGACATGCCTTTGTCTGACTTTTTCCTATTCCCAAAAATAAAGAGAATCTTAAAGGGCCGTCGTTTTGCAAGCATAGATGACATTAAAAGCGCATCGCTGAAAGAACTAAAGGCTATCCCAAAGATCGAGTTTTAGAAGTGTTTCGAGTATTGAAAGAAGAGCTGGCACATGTGCATAATATCCAATGGGGACTATTTTGAAGGCGACAATATTAATGTAGACGAATAAATAAATATTTGTTTCAAATAACGAAAATTCCCGACATTTTCTGAACACACCTCGTAGTTATCAAAGTTTATTTCTAGTCCAGGAAACAAAGGTTTTAGAAGGAAAACTCGAAGGTATTCGGGTTTTATTTTTTTTATGTAGAGTCAGGGGTGCTGATAATGAATTAAGAATATTCCCCAAAAATTTCCGCGTCCCCTAATTTTATAAAATATATCCCCCAGAAAGGGGAGTTTTTTGCTTTTTGGCTCATAACTCGCTAACCGTGAATTTTTTCAGAATTCGACCTAAAATACTTTTGATTATGTACTAAATAAGGCACTCGTTAAACCCTATTGCGCATCTATATGATGTGCCCTTTTGCTATGCGCAGTGTTAAAAGTTGAGCGATGCTTTCAAAATCTATTTTTTTGTTTTTTTTTATTATAGCCCAATTTTATTTACTTTATGCTTTCAAAACTATAACCAACTTTGTTTTAGGAAACATATCATCAAATTAGAATCAAAACATGAAGAACTTCAAGGCATGGATAGTGAAAAACAAAAAACCTACAATTGTGAATTGTGTGCATTTTGTACAACAAAATATCAAAAATATTTATCTCATACAATATATTGTAAATATCCCAGAAAGCCGCTTGAATTAAAATGTAGTCAATGTCCATATTGTAACTTAAACGTGTACTCGAATTTGAAATTGCAAGGGCATGTGTTTAGAAAACATAGGAAACTCAATGAGATCGAAAAGAAAGTTGAATTCACTCACCAAATATTAACTTGCAATAAATGTACCTTTTCTACAATAGTGTTTACTACATATGCAAGACATATAAACAAGTGTTTAGGTCCTAATAATAAAATGAGTTACGTCGAAAAATCATCCTACTGTGAAAAAAAAAGTATAACTGAAGGACATGTGGTTAGTGAACACAAAAATGATGTTGAGAAGAAAATAGCCATTACTTTTGCAAAATACGAGTGTAAAAAATTGCTCGGTCGTAACAAGGAGTTTGGATAAATTTAAAATACATGTGAATTCATGTCTTGGTCCTGTCAACATCGGTTCATATAGCTGTAAAGAATGTGAATTTAAAACAAATATAAAAAATTATGTTAAAGATAAATCTGGTGTTATACAAAAAATAAAATGTCCTCAATGTTCATACAAAACTAAGACAAGAGCGCAATTTCAGAAGCACTATAAAAAACATGTTATTGAAAACTTAACATGCCCATATTGTGAGTTGAAAACAACCATGACTCGCGATTTACAGCAGCATGTTTTTGATACGCATGATCAACAAAATAAAATTGAAAAAAAAGTTGGCGTCTCCTCATTAAACTGTAAAAAATGCTCTTTTCATACCGTTAGGAACGACCTTTATGCAACTCACGTTAAATTGTGTAATAATTAAGTCCCTTAATTTGGTTTACTATAATTTAAACAATTTGACTGACCAACCTCTTCTGCCGGCTATAGCCGGCATACCCTTGATTTACATAAAAGTCATTTTTGTTGATAATTATTGTCAAATTTAGTCCGTTATAATTATTGAAAATTCGATCAAATTTAAAAATTCCTTCTTTCGATGTCAAACAGTTAGCTTGGATTTTGACGTCACACCTATGTACTATGCTCCACATCTTAGTCCCACCACGTGACCACGTACGGAACGCAGTCTTTTAAAAATTTGGCATTTAAGGCTTTTCAGGTTATGTAGGTATTTGTCAAAGTATAGTCAACGAAAGAAATAATATTATGTTTAGGAGTTCAAAATGTATAAATCTTTAACATTAGAATAACAATGGATGGTTTCTAAAGTGTATGGTGCCAAATAAGTAATATTTTTGTGCATTTGGTCCAAATATCTGGTTTTCTCCATAAAATTATTTTAACTAAACAGCATTTATTTAAAAAAATCTAGCTTCTCTATTATGGAATAAGAATATCTGTATTAAAGGTAGGTTAATATATTATAACAAAAACATAATCTAATTTTGTAATTTTAAGGTTAGAAAAATTTATT